TATATTTGTATGTATATATGTATATATAAACACAGTAATGAATGTAGTTATTGTAATCGGGGTCTAGCCCACGTGATCAGGATTCAAACTAGGTGTTGATTTTTAAACTGTATGTAGTGAACTTGCATTTGTGCATGATACGTTTGTGCATGTATTTCAAATGGATCAGTACTGGTGGCACTCTGGATATATCAATCCACGATGCATATATATTCAACACTCCAAAGACTTGAGTAACTGGTAAACGTTTATCTAACACAAGAGGAATTTTTTTTAATGACTTAAGAGTGGCGGCCCGTTGTGGTGAGCCACCGAATCAGTTCTGTTGAGCTCCATTGCACTATCTGTCAATAAAGTATTATGTGTGATAAAAAAAATTACTTCAATGGATGATGGCTGCAATAGCCAAAACTAGCTGATTTTACTAGTATTGAACACGTATGCTATTGTAATTATGATATAATGAAATAAAAGTTTTGTGCGAAGGACAAGCTTTTTTTATCCCTCATTTTCCCCCTAATTGCGCGCACACACACCCACACACACAAATACTCACAAACACACACAAACACTCACTCACACACACACACATACAAACACACACACACTCACACACACACACATACTCACACACACACACAAACTCACACAAACACACACACTCACACACATACAAACACACACACACACACACACACACACACACACTCACTCACAATAGCTCAAGAAATAACAGACAATGTTTTCTGTCAAAATGAGGTATTTCCTTTAATAATGCTTCTATAAGATCTGACACGAAACAGAAGAGAAACAAGATAGAACCATTTTTGGTAACATTAAGCCGTGTAGAGGGCAAGAACATATTTAACATTAGAAATCAAGCAGGTATACACCTAATAAAAACAGCTCTCTATTTACAAAACGAAAATTGTGCTTAGCTAGCTATAAGCCTTACAGTTGTGGCAACAGCACTATCTGGTAGAGGTAACTGTTGCAACATGCTGTATAAACACTTATACGTTGTAGTTATACAGTACGAGACTGGCTGAGGGTGTGTTACATGAACATTTCTGTCTTTCACAAGACAAACTGAGAACAGTGAACTAGATTGGCACTGACTCTGCCACTTTACAACTGGCATTCCACCAGTTGGGGGAACTATACACAAGATGTGGTACTAGAAAATATAGGGATAAAACATAGTACTCTATAGTCTTACTTTATGTACACAACGTTTGATTTAATTACAAGCTCATGGCAGTTTTTACTGGCCATAGACAAGAACACAGAAGGCCCAAATGTATGGATTATGGACCAGGGCATGTAAGTACATGCAGAAAATGAAACTAGCAAAAATTTAAGGTACGTCCATTTCCACATTTTTGCAGACCTCAGCTGCAGTTCTACATCTCTACTGTGTACGTAGAGAAGCACAAGACAGTGTTAATCAAATATTGTAATGAACAGAATCAGCTTGATTTAAGAGATTGTGGTTTGGGAAATAACAGCACAAGAGGGCAGAAAAACAGTTGGAATGGGACAGCTCAAACATTTTTCTTGCGACTTACTAAAACCTGACAATATATACGTAAAACTGTATTCTTTTAAAAAAGTAAAAAAAAAATCTAGCTACAACTTTTTACAGAGACACAATACTGCAGATGAGGAACTGGAAATAAATTTACCTACTGCTAAACAGTCAGCTTATAAAATACAAACTCTATACTTTATAAATTACTTAGGAGAATTTCTTGTGTACTGCACATATGCCAGCCATGCTTGCACTGACAAAGACTTTGTGGAATGCATATTTACAAGACAGCAATGCTGTGTTACAGGGTCCTCCACATACAGTCTGGTACAAATATCTCTCTACAAATACGTACAATGTATCATTACTTCGAAACAACTGAAGTATAACCAATATTACGACATTCAGACATAAGGTATCGAACCAGAATGTATATATACCCTGGTTTCTTGACCGGAGTAGTTAAAGTATGTGGAATGCTGTCACTATTTACACTTGTCTCCAGCTGTGAATGCTGGCTCACGTATTTACAGAAGAATGTAGCACTTGTCCACATGTAAAGCCCTGCGCCCGATTGCAACAGACCTATGGCACATAGTACAACAATTGGTTCTTGGGCAATAAGAGGAGCCTCTTCTCCTTCCACAATCACAATCTTCCTCAAGAAAATAAAATTACGGAAAATGTTCGAACACTCAAATGTCTCTGTGTTCATTTGTCTATAGCTACACGTAAGACTCCTCAGCGAACATCATCTGGTCCAAGTCGGCAAAGTCCAAGTTGCCTCGCTTTCTCTGGTTCCAGTCCTGTTTCGTCTTCGTGATCTCGCTGACAGCTTCTTTCGTTCGCTTCAGACCGTTGATGGGATCGCTACTGAGGAAGTAGTCTTTGACAGTGTTCTTAACCTCAGGAGAGAGCATGGAGGAGGGGGGATCTGACTTGGGATCAGGGAAGGGGAACTGGAACTTGGTCCCAGAGGAACTAGTTGCTTCAGGTTGCGTGTGATCGTTTTTCAGACTCTCCTGGCTGTTTTGTCTCTTGGGCTGGCCTCTCTGTACCGACAGGAAGTTGGCAGAAGTCATGGCTTGAACAATGTCGTATGAACTGATGCCACCCGGACTCTCTGGGACCGTTTTCGACGTCGAAGAAGAAACCAGTTTGCTTGGGCAGCTGCTTCTTACAACTTTTGTGTCTGTGATGGAGTCTTTTTTCTGTTGGGTCTCAGGAGCAGACCCTCTTCTTTGTCTGTCCAAAGAAGTGTCCGTGACAGGAATGTCCATTTCTTTCCTCATGGGTTTCATCGGCGAGTTGTGCCCGTAAAACAGTTGCTGTCTCCGCAGCTGGAAGTGCTGACGGTGGACAGCGATTGTCCGGTCCAGCTCGCTGCTCGTTCTTCGTAGACTGCACACCGGCTTCTGCTCAGGGTTCACCTCGATCTTACTGATCGGCAGAGCTTTCCTGGGAGCAGAGGAGTCCTGGAAAAGCTTGCTGCTCGTGCTGGCCTTGCCACCAATGCCGTACACCGAGGGTCGTGTGTGATCAACAGAGTCACTGTTACTCCTTGTCAGGTTTACTCCACGTTGCAACCTCGACAGGATGTCGGTGGACTTTGATCCGTTTGTTGTCGTGTTTTCCTCGTCTTTGACTTCTTTCTGTACACTGCTCTGTTTCTCCCAGACTGGTTCGGCTTGTGGTTTGTTTTTTGCCGGTTCAGTTGGCTGCTTGGAACTCCGTGCTGGTTCGCTGGGTCGCTTGTTTCGCGTCGTTTCGCTGGACTGCTTTTCCCACACCGCTTCGCTCTGTTTCTTCCACACGGGTTCGCTTTGTGATTCTACAGCCTTATCCTGCCTCTGCATTCGCATGGTTTTCACTGTCTGGACTGTGAGACCCTGCATGCCGCTGGAGATGGGGTACTGGCGACTGCGGCTGACTGCCTCCTGGTAAGACGGCGGAAGGTTCGGCTTCTTCCTGTCGACGACTTCGAACACCTGCTCTGCCGTAACCTTCGGCTCTTTTATGTCCAGCGGGACGGGGCTGGTGAAGGTTCTCTGGCGGAGGCCGGACGATTTGTCGTCGAGGGTGTCACTCTCGGAGCTGCTGCGGGCGTGGAACACCTGCAGGTTGCCGTCGCTCGACGTGAGCGACTCCAGGGACATCTCCAAGCCCGTCGTGATCAGAGTCCCTGAACTCTTACTCCTGAGTAGGGTGTGGGGGCCCTTCCTCAGGTTGGTCAGGCTGCTGGCTGGGGTGGGCCTTGCTGCCAACTTTGGGGACGACTTGGGTGGTGTCTCGACTTGCCGTGCTGACATCTTTGAGGGCGAAGAAGCAAAGTACGGCCCCTCCTCTGCTTTTGGGACGGGAGGGGTTGCGGTGTGAGGCCGGGAGTATGCAACGTGTACACCATAGTCTGTCGACGGCCTCTTGTTGTGGAGCCCGAGGGCGATGTTCAGCCTCACGGCTTCCGCAGACACTTCTTTCCTCGGCGGCGGCGCAGGAGGATCCCTGGGAGACACGGTGACAAGGTTTCCCAGGGCTCTCTGCAGTGACGCGTCGCTGGACCGGCGGGAGTTGTTCTCGGAGCCGGAAAACACGCTGTCAGATGACGGGGAGAGGTCAGAGGAGTTACTGCTCTTTCTGACGTCCCGGAACAAGTCCAGCGTCGTCGGTCTGTCAACGGCGCCTGTGACAGTCACCCTCCGGTGTGGAACAGTGTCTTTCTCTGGGGAGTAGATCTCAGTCTCGCTGATCATCTTCTGGCTCTCAATCTGCAGCTGTTTGATCTGCTTGATGTACTCGGGGATTATTCTCTCGTCCGAGTTCTTCCTCATCCTCAGCAGCTTCGCCGGCGGGGGCGGCGGCTCGGACTTTCTCCGGTTCCTCCGCGGGGGAGGGATCGGGGTCGAGTCGTGCGAGAGAGAGGAGTAGCCGGAACTGGAGCCGAGAGACATGTTGTCGAGGATGGAGTCACGGTGCATGCTCATCTGGTGCTGGGAGCTGTCGCTGTTGCACCTCTCGTGCTGGTACTTCTGCTCGTACCGAGATTTCTCGTTGTTCCCGGCGTGTTCGTCCTCCGGGTGGTACAGGTTGGTGTCGCTGAGGGTCAGCCCGGAGTCCCGGCTGAGGCTGGACGGGGAGAACTGGTCACCGTGCTGCGTTCGCGGGCTGGACTCCATCTCGGAGATGTACAGCTCCCGCTCCAGGCTGTCCAGAGAGGAGTCATCCCTCCGCATCACTCCTGTAGACCAACCAAAACTTCTGGTCAGTTTATTCTTAATAACTTCTAGTTTGTTTACTCTTGAATACTGTACATGCATTCGCCTTCGCAGTTCTTTTATTACTTTTGCGTAGTTTTTTTTTTTTTATTTTTGCAGCAGGAGAGAATGAGTATTTTTTGCACAGTTTACGGTTTCATGGTAAAAAGTCACTACAAAAATGACAACCTTTTTGCATTTACAGTACTGATCACTGTGAATTTGGAAAGTCATTTCCACTCCATATCACTTTGGAATAGGTATTTCTGTAATGACATGTACAGTGCTATTTCAATGCTTAAAATATTTGGGATGCCAAAAGATATTGTCAATGAGCCAACAAATACCAAAGAGACCAATCTAACTAGTAATAAGTCCACTGAGGACAAGGTTTGTTGTTACAAAAATACCTCATCAATAGTTTATTTTTAGCCCAACAGGAACTCCAGCCTTATCTCATAATTACTGATACCATGCATGCCTAACGTGCCATTTCTGTTCAAAACAATTTTGACTTCTTGGAGTTGTTTGCAACGTTTGTTGCTGTGAATTTCATCAGAAACTGTTGTTTTAAGCAAGAGACATTTCTTGTTATGCCAAAAACAGTTACTCAAGCAACTGCATATGATTTTGGAAACAGTCAGATGTTTCACGTAGCATCCACTACCTTTTGTCAGTGACACTAGAGACTGCAGGAGAAATGCAGGTTTATAGGCATGAACTATTGATTCATATGCAAATAAGTGCACACAAATTTCTTGTTACTCTATTCCTCACCTGTGCAATCTTGCATGCTGTTAACGGAGTCTGAATCTCCACTGGAATCCTGGCGCAGCTTGTGATCAGGATCCTGAGGCGCCTCTCCCATGATCGTCGTAATGTCGGCACCAAAAATCTCCTTACAGTGCTCAATCAGAAGCTGCACAACCTCTGGGACCTACACAGGGAAGAACAGCAAGCTGTTGTTAGCCTCTTAGAAAACTAATAGGAGTAGGCATAAAAGGAGTGTTTCATCCCCCCAATTAAAGGTTATTTTTATACTACTATGTCCAATGTTGCTCACCTACTTCAAGCTATTGTTACCCTCTTAGAAAACTACAGTAGGTACCAAAGAAAAACAGTATAGTTGTATCAAGAACACCATAGATCCTACAACCAAAAAGGGAAGCCTATACTAAACAAAACGGACATTTTTAAAAAAGACTTTCCTTCAGGGCCCTAGTAAGCAAGCAAAAAGCATGCTAGCCTATGCCTTTGATCTTTTCTGGGCTGATATTAGATACTTAGAAGTTGGTACGGCCACCAGCTAGTTTATTAGTCATTTTGTACATCATGTACAATGTCCCCACCTGTTTGGGTGGATGTCTCACATTTTCGTAATGATTTCATATTGTGTAAAAGTGTTTGAAATACCCAAAAAAACTAGCTATATGAGTGTCTCTTTTTTTTGGGTACCGCCCACAAACAGCTAGAACCAGCCAACGATACAGAAGAAGCAACCATTTTCTGACAGTGACAACACATTTTTGCCTCGCAGATATCAGTAGGCTATGGGACAGGATGCGACTTGTCTTATAAGAAGAATGAGCAGAAAATTGACTTTAAGTACCAGTTAAGTACCAGTACCACACTTTATACAAATTGTGTATGTATCTTGTCATTGTATTTTACCCCACCTGTTTGGTAGCTGCGGCCTGGATGTCTCCGCAGGCCTCGAGTGGTGGGTTGAGCATGCTGGGGGCGATGCAGATGGCCAGGTTGTAGGCTGTCATGTTGTTCTCGTCACTCTTCAGGCTGATGTGGTGCAGGATGCACACAAAGTACCGCAGCAGGGTCAGGTTACCGCTGGGCAGCTGCTCAAGTATTCTGGAAACCAAAAGACAATCAAAGGTTATTTTTCTTTGTTTTGTATTTTTCTCAAACGCTTACTGCACATTGTCTTGTACCTTGGTCCCTTGTTAAACACAAGTCAGGGTTGTTGGGGCACTGCATGGTAGTGTCTAGTAATCCTCTGTCTCTATTCCTCTCAGTTCTGTGTTGACTTATCAGGGTTTCTGTACATTGCATAACATTAAAACACAGGGGCCATTCCCACTTGCTTTTATGGCTAAGGTTAGCTCCCTAGTACTTTTTTGACAATGACTTTTTATCCCCCCAATTAAAGGTTATCTTTATTACTTCAATGTACAATGTTGCTCACCTACTTCACAGCACTAAACTCCTAATGATAAATATAGAGCTTCAAATAGTTTCTTACAGACAATCAAGGATGGAAGAGAAGGTCTCACCTTCTGACACTGGTGACTTTAGCCGTGAGGCTCTGCTCTGTGTTGCAGGAGACCCAGTCCTGGTACAGGTCGCTATGCAGGATACTGTGCGGCAGGTTACGCAGGTAGTCCTGGAAAAACACAGGAACAGAAAAAAAAACATCAGCGACTGTTGTGTCAGAACAAAGTCAAACTTCCTACAACTGTAAGTGTAGAAACTTTTGCAGTGGTTTACTTTTGCAGTTTCATGACACCATGAATATGGCTTCCTTGTATGAACTCAAAATTCGAAAAGTTTAAACCTCATTTTTGCCTGGTACCAAGAAATATAACTACCATGGAATAAGATGTATTACAGTAATACATGTCTGAACTCTAAGGTTTCTAAATTACCGATTCACTGATTTCTAAATTACTGATCGCTGATTACTTTTTGTCAGGTAACATGTCATTGAATGACTTTGAAACAGACAATACCACAGCCAATTGGTACCGAATTTGTATTGGTTACGGGGTTGGGCAGCTGGGAGACTTAGAAACAGACAATATGTACCTTGAACACAGCTGCCACAGCATGGATGGGACACTCGCTGAGGTTGTACTCTCCCTCCCTGTCCAGTTTCTCCTTCAGCTCCCGGCAGCAGCGCGCGTTGGCCGACTTGCGGAAGATGCCCGTGACGTACGGCCCGTTCTGGAACAGGCAGGCCAGCAGGTCCATGATGGGTTTGGGCAGCTGGCCGTCCACGCACACTTTCTCCAGAGGGTGGCCAAACAACCTGGGGAAAACCGAACAAAAATTAAAATTAGGACAAACCTGTGCAGGACAATTGTATTTGTCTCTTGCCTGGTGGAAACCTAGCATGCTTGTACCACTATGGCATAGAGTCAAGAGACAACGGCACTTAGGTTAGCTCTGTTTTAGGCTTACAAATGTAGCTTGTCCTCCAAAATTTTGCTTGCTGCACCACTCAGACATTGAGAAGTATGGATCATGCTAAAAGTTGGTAAGAAACAATTGCCATTGTTTCCTTTATATTTCATAGGCCGCAACAGTCAATGCAGCAAATCCACATACACCAACCCAGTGCAGGTTTGGTGCAGGTAGACATCAGAAATACTTGCACACTTTCAATTTCACACACACTAACCTGCATATACATTTTTCCAAATTTTTGTTTATCTACGTTAGAAAAAAGGATTGGCAGTACTTACTTCCCCCTGGCCTCTGATGTTGTGGGTGAATCCGGCATGTCAGATTTGCTGGAGGTGCGCTTGAAGGGCCAGTTGATGATGGGAGATTTCTTGAACCTCTTCAGCTTCTTGCTTGGAATGTCTTCTGCTCATGAAACAAGGAAGATGGAAAACTTAGTCCAACTCGAAGTTTCACTTGTGTTTTTTGTAAGACTTACAATCAATGCCAGTGCCCTTACTTTTGGCTTATGAAGACATACATAAAGTTAACAGAAAAAGCCAAAGGTCCCTTATTTGAGCAACATTTCGAGCACAATCATTGAAGATCCCACTGTACTTATTGAATAGGGTTCCTTCCTGGTTCAAAACTTACAGTACAGCCTTACCCAGCTTGTACATTTTGTACTTACTGTACAAAACTGGTTTCCTGGTTTTACGAAACAAAAAACAAGACTACGGCTTACCCATGACAATTTTGGTCTTCCTGCTGTCCCTGAGGACAAACTGGACCTGTGTCTCGGGTGACAGGTGGTCCATGCTGGGCATGATCTCCTGGTCCAGCAGAACAAGGTGATCGTCACCTGCCGTCACCGCCGCGTCGCGCAGGTGGGACATCTTGATGGCGAAGGGGATCTCGTGTCCGATCAGCGGGTACGGAGCCTCATCCTTCCCGGACTTCACCCAAAGTCTGTAGTTACTGGCATCATCCTGGAACACGTTCAGAAGATTGAGTTATTCATCATGACTACAGGCAATGTTTTGTGTTTGAATTGAGCTCAGATTTGATTTGAAAAAGAACAGATGAGTACAATTCCATTTTGACCAGTTTAAGTCATAGTCTTTTGAGACTGACTGACAGAGAGACTAAGAGACAGGCTCTGTCACTTAATAAGATTTGACTGAGAGATTATGTATAAAGCCTGGTTGTCTCTGGTACTGGTCTCTCGCTAACATAAAAAGGTGGATTAAAATTGTGGGACTCTTTCACTGAAACTTAAAGTACTTCACTTTTACATCATCTACATCTACATAGTTGATCAAAATGAAAGACATGTGTTTAATGAAATTAACTATCATATTGTGAGTGGTAGTGACAACTACTTACAGTGATCCCAAACTGCTGAAGAGACATCTTCACCACATTGCTGGCCGAGTCTGTGTTACTGACGGAAAAGGACTTGGACTGAAGAAAAATGGAAAAAAGAGCACATTGATACATCAACATGAATATTAACAGCTTCTGATGCCAAAATACAATTTTTCATTAAACATTTTGTTATGTATACAACCTTCTTTGTATTCAACACTGCTGATATTGTTACTTCAAAGCTTGACTCTACATATGTAATGTAAAATGTAGAAAGAAATGGTCTACTTACATATGCAGGACACTCGATGTCTCTGTTTTCTACTTTCAGAGTCACCGACTTGGGTTCCTCCTTTGACTTCCCCTCTGCTATCAACCTTTAAAAGGAGGAACAAACAACAATTTAGTAAACATGCACAACACTGCCTACATTCATAATGATTGTTCTTCTAACAACATAACAGATAGAAATGATTAAACCAACCTCCGCTTATAGGACCCAATTTTTCGACGAATAGACATTATGGCACTACGACCATTCTTGGGCACAAAACTAGGCTTGAAGCACCATCTTCAATTGTGTTCAGCAGCCAACTGAACTGGACAGCTATTCTAACTATGGTAGGTACAGTAGTAAAATGCCAATCAAGATGTCATTGCTTATTTATGTGGTATTCCTTCAGTTTATATACTTACAGTAAAGCCATGCCTTTTTCTCTTGACTGACAAAATTCAGTTTTTGGGTCACTACTCTGCACTTCTGATTTTTAGGGAAATTATAAACTCTTTGTCCTCCTTGTCAACAAGGTTAGGGGTAATGTTTTTGTCACTCTGACATCAAAGACTGTTATCTGTCCTTAGATCTAAAGGACAACTTGTCACTGTTTACCTCAGAGTAAAAAACAGTATCCTTCAACGGTCACTTTTAATCAATGGCTTCCTTCCGGTGACTGACGTCAAAATACACCATTAATCAGCTTCAAGGAACCAGAGCTCAAATTTGGAGCTGTGCACCCAAATATTTTCGTAGATTTATGTATATATAAAGATGTTAAATGTAATAGATGTGAAGGCTATGCTACATACTACAGTACAACTAAGTGTCAGAAAAATAATACAATGTAAAATCATTGTTTTAGTATGTTTCTTTAGAAATAAAACATAATTAATTTTGTTAATTAGTGACATTCTTCTTACTTTATCTCATGTGGTTCACCCCAAAAAGTTTTTGTGCCTCCAATTTTTCAGGTTGCACCTACATGTATTGCCAAAAATGAATTTTGAGCCCTGAGGAACCGTACTTACTTCGTCAAAGCGTCCCACCAAAGTTCTTTCAGCTCAGGCGTGCTGAACGTTGCCACTGTGTTTGTTGTCGGCCATCCGATGACGAAGGACTTGTCTAATGTTTTTGTCGTTTCGCAAACTTCGTCGAGGCACGTGGCGAGCCACATCTCACTGAGGCGTACCCTGTGCTTCAGTTTGAATGTGTTTGCCGACCTGGAATAACAAAAACACTGTCATTAGTTTGGATGTTTATTATTTTCATGTCTTAATTTCTACACTTCAAGTTCCAAGTTCATCTATGATTTAAAAAAATACTTTTTGCACAAAAAATGGCAAATTCCAAAGGAATAATCAAACCAAAATAAACAAAAGTTTATAGGTGTGATGAATAAAACATGACGCACTGCTGGAAATATTTCCCTCAAATTTCATGAATACTTCACAGCACGTCACAACATTCATGCAAAGTTCCCAAAATAACAGTCTTTCAAAACAACAAAGGGAGCTCAAAAAGAGATTCTTTAATCATTTTGCTGATTTATACCTTCTTTCTATTACTTAGCAAAGTTATTAATTAAAACACAGTAGAGCACTGCATAGTAGTGACACATGCAAACATCTTGTACTAGGGTGCAGTTCCGTTACGTTCTGCTAGGGGCTCTCTTAGCTTGCCAACAACCACAGAACACACAGCACAGTCACTTACTTTGGCTTTGCAACCAGCACGATGTCGCTGAAGAGGAAGAGATATCTGTCCTGTGTCTGGAGCGCCTGGGTGAGCTGGACAGGCCCCTCCATGATGTACTGCCTGTTGATTCACATTCAGCTTTATTAATAATATTGGCATTGACATGTTCATTGAAATTTAAACACGAATTGCACCAACGTTAACATTGATCATAACAATACGTAAAATACACAGAGCAGATAGAATTTAAAAAATTTAAAATTCGATTTAGGTTAAAAGGCTTTACACGGACGCTAGATATTATGTTCTCAGTGTAGAGGTAAGTACAATTATTCATACGTAAATTGCATATCGTTAGGAAGCAGTAGATTGTGAGTAAATAATACTTGCCTGTTGATGGCATTGTTGTTGGTTCCCAGTCTCTGTCTGGACACGGGACTGGTTTCCACCGGCGAGACACGGCCACTACTGGGTAGGCTGTTGGGGCTAAAGCGAAGAAGAACAATAAAGTTAACTTTGTGACTTCACTCTGGTGGATTGAGTGCTCTTCAGTTCACATCACATCTTTTTGTCTTACTCTTATAGCTTTAAAAGGTTTGGGACCACATTGTTAGCAGTAACATCTAGCTTCAGCAAACAGTGAACCTGAAACACCTAGCTTCAGTGCACAGTGAACCAGTAACACCTATAATATATAGTTTCAGTGCAAACTGAACCATCTGTCGATTTTTCCTTAAACAAGTGGTTGTGAAGAAAGAGCTTTGCTATTCAATCATTCATTCTCCGACCTGATGAAATTACTCACAGACTACTTTTAAAAACTTTTTTCGTGTACTTACCTAAGAAGAGATCCTGATGAGGAGATTTTGCGTCCCCCTCCCGTGAGGTGCCCCTGGATCACGTGAGCCGGGGCTGACTTACGCCGCATCAGGCGAGATCTCGGCTTCTGTACAAACACAAAACACACAACGTTAAGTACAATATACAAACCATTTCTTTAAAAAGTTGGGTAAAAATTCAAGAGGCCAAAAAATATGGTGTACACAAAGTGCAAAAACGAGCAAAAAGGAACAAAAATGAGCGAAGAAGAACAACATAAAGGACAACAAAAGTTTCTTTTCTTTAAAAAGTTTGGTATGGAACTTAACAGGCAAAAAGTGTTTCAACCCAGTCAGGTTCAATGTGAATGAAAAATGGAAGCAAAGAATGTGTTTTGGACATTTTCCATTCAACAACTAACCACAGATGTATCTTCCTAGAACAAAGCCTTTGTCAGCAATGCTCTCACAACAAGTTGGGTAAAAACAATGCCGTTCACCAGCAAAAAATGAATCAACTGTATACAAAAGCAACAGGCCTAATCATAACAAGGAAAAAACAACATTTTTGTGTCTAATGAAGAAGAAAAAATGCAGCAGGTGAGGCCAGCGACATCCTCAACCCATTTGTGTACAAAACACAGTGGCACGGGCCGTAGTAGTGTTTGCGTGAGAAGGCACAAAAGGATCGGGGAAAAACAATACACCAATAAACAGTGTACATTCGTAAAGTGGACCATTTAACTTCAACACCTGCACCTTTGAACTGTTCTACACTGCAGTTACGGCGTGTATTGTACTGCAGGACAGGGTACCTACTTCGAACACTAACAAACACGAGTTTGAACACAGGTTTCACACCTGCAAGTTCGGGCATGAATGAGAACACTAACCGTGTGCAGCAAGCACATTTTGCTTTCCCTCAGGCTACGTTCTGGTAGAGGTTCCCTCTAACATAACACACAAAACATGTTGCTCTCGCAAAAATTTTCAGGAATTTTCAGGGATCAGCATAAGTTCATACACGTTTTCCTGAGCTTTGACTGTAACACAGTCAACCCTTGCCCTGTCTTCTAATAAAATAGTGAGATTCGAACTCTGAAGTTTGTTATGTTCCGAGAAGGTTAGCAGAAGCGTCGTCTACGGCACATCCACGCATAGCTCAGAGTTTTATCAGGTTTATCATGGAATACCACCAACTTCCCCTGCATGCAGAGGAAACACAGAGACAGGGAGTCTGGTGGCCCCGAGCTGTGTCCGTAGCCTGACCACAGGCTCCACTCTGTCGGGGACACTCATCACCAGGAATTCGTAACAATGTTACAGGTTTAACCACCGACAGGACTCCCAGAGGTGACTGACCTCAAAATAATGGTGACCCGAAAGAACCTCTGACTTTTACAAAAATCAATGCCTATGTTAAACATACTAAAAGAAAATCTGAAGGTGAACAGTAAACTGTCCATTTCAAAGCACACAAACTATATGGTGGTAAGACCTTCTCTTTGCTCTAGTCCAACTTCCTACCTTAGTGATTGTAGGACAGTCCACTAAAAGAAAATCTGAAGCTTTACAGTAAATACAATCCATTTCAATGCACACAAACTATGCAAGGCTCTCCTTTTGCCATAGTCTAATCTCCTACCTTAGTGATTGTACATGTAGGACAGTCCCACTGAAACTTGCACATGATGCCGCTCTTTCGTTGCTACAACTGCCACTACCGTAACTCCTTGCACACTGGTAACGAACTGGACCACAGAAACTTCAGCGAGCCCTTTTAAAACTTCCCTACCTCACTTCCTACCTTAGTTATTGTAGGAAAGTCCCACTGAAACTTGCACATGGTGCCGCTCCTTGAATTCTACTATTGCTGTCACCGTAACTCCTTGCACACTGGTAACGAACTGGACCACAGAAACTTCAGCGAGCCTTTTCAGGACTTCTCAACCTCACTGCACATGTCCTTATCTCTGGAACTGACTGATTTGCCACCCTCCCTGTCTCCAGGCAGACGCTAGACTGACAGGTAAGGACACTGCTAAATTCTGCACTGACAGCCTGAAGGGACAGGCCTGTTCTGTCGCATGCAAACAGGCACGTAGTCCATGGAAAAAATACTCCATATCTACCAAAACAAACTAATTATACAAACACTGACTGGTACAATGTAGTCATCTGGTCATAACCTTTCGTTAGCAAACACTCCCTCACGTGTAAAGCTTGTGTTTTGCGACTCACTGACCTGCTTAATTGTAAATCCAACTGGCTTCTCAACATATTTCTCAATGTGAGAGGAGAAACTACAATCTAGGTCTGGAAAGAGGCCAAAATAAGGAATTGTTTTAGGAATGTTTGTAGCAGAAAATTCCATTCTGATATTAGCTACTAATACTTCATGTCTAGAAGTTTCTACCTGAAGCAAATGACCTTGTTTCAGGCCACCATTTTTCATGTGCATTCAATCGAGATCAATCATTTCCACCTGCTAACTTCTTTCCAACTCAAAAAGTCAAGTTTTGACATTGATGTATAATACACTTACCGTGTATCTATACTTGCCAATTGTCCCTGATCTTCTAAAAACACTACTGGGATGTTCAGTTCCCAGTTGTCGCTTGTATCAAAGTTAGAATGTTTACAGTGACAGTACCCCCACTGAGATAACAAGATTCTCAAGCCAAGCAGACGCAAATTAGGTAAGACGTACAGGCCAGAGGTCAAGTCAAAGGTTCAGCCAACTGGAACTGGATTGCATAAGAGTGACAATAGCCTGGCGCTGCCTTTTTAACCTGGCCTTTTCTAAATATGGCTTAGAAGCAAAGTAGAAGATATAACAATGGCCGTTGGCTTGGAATAACATTACAAGAGTGCACTTCAGTGGAAAAATCCTACCAATGCAGCATTAGCCATGTGTTATCCAACTTACACTTTTCATTGATATAATATTTACATGTAAGTCAAGAAAGTTTTCCAACAGGGTATATACATGTATAGCTTATCGAATAACAAACATTCTTAATGATAAGAATTACCACTGGAATGTTGGACTCCGGAACAAAGTGAGGAACATGTACTTGTAGCTTGGCACGTAAGGATTCCGCACTTGGGATGCCCTCGCTGTATTTTACATGTCGGCTACATATTTTTTCCTAGCAAAACATACCTGATTCTAAGCACAAGAACTTTTTACTTATTGATATCTACAGGACGGCTACATGATTCTCTTTGAGCCCGGCTTTTAAATAACATAAAGAGTGGATCAACCCTGCTCAAATACGCAAAAACCCTCAATTACAAACACCTGTCATTATAACCTGTATAACAGACCCTTTTCTAGGTTACCAAGTTATCCAGGTATGTCTTAATACATGCCGGTACAAGATGTTGAGTTGTGTAAGGACTACTTTCTTTTCGAAATGGATTAGAAGGCGGCGCGTTAGCTACAGGTGGTCAAGTAAAAACCGGCTCTTTTACTTAATGTGAAGATTGTTTGGTGAGAATTTTTAGGAGGGTTGGAAAGGGGTTTAGAAATATTCTGAGTGAAAGCTGAAACCTGGTGTTGACCATGAAAGTTGCTCCCCACCAAACCACTAATTGAGGACATTGTATGAAAGCTTCGGAAGTGGTAAGTTTTGTATGCAGGAAGGGCGGGGTAATGGGGATCTAATTATGAAAATTCTGTATAATGAGTGTTCTTTCTCCCCCCATGTCTGTTAGCTATCCTCTCTAGGTTGAAGAAGCCTCGTGACCTTGCTGGAGAGAACAATGGAACGAACTTTGACATTTCATGACATTTAACCTTGGGCACACTAGAGGGGGGGCACACTTATTGATTAAGAACAAAGTACAATACTTTGTCATGATCTTTTGAAACTTTGGCTCATATTTGGATTTCACTAATAGCTGGTAGACATATTGGGAGAATTACTTGAACAGACAGTATACACAATGTCTGGACTTCCCCAATCTTTTGTATGCAACTTAAAACATCAATCACTTACACTATTCACACACATCAAGGAAGAAAAATAAAAGAAGCATACCTCCAACTTTTCCAGTTCCAATTTCAACCCAGACACAATTTGCACACCTGTATTTCTAGGTCTGCCAAGCCATTTCTTTGCTGAGATTTTGTCTAATTATTGGACGTAGTTTTTCGGGGGCATCTAAGGATAAAGCACCTTTTGCGGCATTCAAGTTGACGTGCTAGATGGCAAAGGTGGTGTTTTTAACGGGCTTAACCACAGGTAATGACTTAAACGCCGCCTGATTGATAGTCAGAGACGTCAGCGTGTGCATCCACATGTGAACGATCCGATCGGACCGGTGATATGTCCGAAAAATTTGTGACGTCTGAATTCAAACGTCCGTCACCGAACGCCAAATTGAGATCTCTATCGATGTAGGCCAATAAAGGACGTAGTAATATCATGATTTGAAACCCGAGAAGGACTGGACGTAGTTGGAGGTATGTTAGACATCCAATCCGCCTCTGGGCAGCTTGGGGACAAAACTTAATTACCCCACTTGTCGTGTGCCCCAATCGATCAACCAGGGCTTATTGTTAGGCATGTGCGCCGGCATGTACGATCACACTCGCACTCACATCTGCGCACAATTTTGCGGAATAAAGTCCCAACTTTGGACAAAACTTCCTCAAAACTTGTCTATTTCCTTATACGAATGTAAAGCAAACATTAGTTGCCTTGTTTTTTATCCAATCATGCCGACAGTCTGAATTTCTAACGTTGTAACTCAATGCCAAGTGCGTTCTCCCGCTAACACAAGCTAACAGCCTTGATAATTGAAATGAAAAGGAACCAAAACGCAAACACATGTCCGTTAAGCTTCCATATTCATCCCACATGTGTGGAATGATGACGTACATTGTGACACTACTCTGTCACCTCAAGGCGAATAATCAAGAAACCTTCTGACCTCATACAAGGCTATCAAAACAATATCAGCGGCACCTTGAGATTTTATTCCTCTAAGATGACAGGTGTACACACTGGAATCTGAAATACAGTCCGCAAAAAGTCCTTCCCTGTCAGACACTGAGTTAGTCAACAGACTAGTTGGCAGAGTTAGGCAACAAACTTCTTCTAGCCATGAACTTAGTTCT